GTATATTGTGGGCCCTACAAATAATAATAATTATACTTTTTGTTACTTTTATTAACTAAATTGAAAAGTAATGTCTAGGTCAAAATCACCCAATCCTACTCTCCTGGTAAAAATCAATACCTTTTTTCAATAAATAATTAATTTTCAAGAATTACTTTTTTAGTATTAATATGTTTTGTATAAAATTCATTTTAATTATAGATTTATTTTAGTTAATAAATACATAAATGTTTTTAATTTTAAGCAGTAGTATGGATTTAAAATTTTTATTTTTTACTATGATAAAAATATTTTTTTTGTAAGATCACATGTTAATGTTGTGATACAAATCTCTAATATAGTTCATAAATGTATGCTAAAGCAATAAATTTTAATATTTATTAACATAGGTGCAACTTGGGGTCATATTCCACANATATTTATTAACATAGGTGCAACTTGGGGTCATATTCCACAAATATTAAAAATATTATATGCTGAAAAAAAAATTGGAATGGGAAAAATTAATTTTCATCACCAAAAATTTTACATAGTTGCATCAATTTTCATTAATTTAGTCACTTTATAATTTAATAAATTAAATTCTAATAAATAAGTATGCTTAAGTATTATATTGTGAAAGCTCTTGCAGAATTAACATAACTGGTAAAATTTTATTTGCTTTGTGGCTATAAAGTAGAGTCATTGTAAATTAAATTTCTATGTTAAAAATATTTATTCATATGGTTGAGTGTTAACAAACATTTGTAAGTTTGCAGATATCATAGTTTTACTTTTTTTTTTTTTTTTTTTTTTATANCTTTTTTTTTTTTTTTTTTGTATACTATGCTATACTTATAGTTTGGTTAGAATACTCAAGGACAAATATCATAAAACAATTTTTCAAATTTCTCTAAAAATAATTTTTATCATTACAGGATGTTGCCAATGGGTAATGAGTTTAAATCACCTATGATGACTCCAGATCCACCACCTCCTCCAGCTAAAAAAAAGAGAAGAACATCTAATGCAGCAACTGTTACTAATCATACACCTCAGCCACCACCTCCATCACCACAAGATTTACTCCCTCCTCCTTTATCAGGTATATTATATGTTTATATTAAAGTCATTTGAATTGAAGTTAGCATTTATATCTTAAATTGATCAACATGTTTTATACAAATGTTTGATTTTTTTTAATTTGTTACTTAATATTAAGAAATATATTTTGAAGATAAATTAAATTTTATAGATTAAGAATGAAATGGATTAAAAATATTTTTATCTTGAGAATTTTCTAAGATTTGCAATTTTATGCTTTTATATCCTAATCATTAGGAAAAACTATATTCATATAAGTTCAGACTTAAAGGGAAAGTAGAAAAAGGTTGTGAAGCCTCATGAGCATTTGTTCTACTTATTTATATTAAGCAATATTTAATTATATATTACTAAGTCAACATAGATATAAATAAGCATTGTAAAAAACACCTTCAAACCTTAATTCACTTAGTAGTCTGTTTTATTAATAAGATTAAAAATTAAATTTAATACTTATCTTGTATAAGACACTTTTGCAGGATACAAATTTTATAGTTTACTTTAAAAGCGTACAAATAATAAATAGATAAATTCAGAATAAATTATATATGTCTTGAAATTTGATATAAAAGTAAAAAAATGAAATACTTAATAGTATCATAATTAATAACAAATATACAAATAAATTAACTTAAAGATTTTTTTTATGTTATTTAAAAGTTAATTTTTTAAATATAATTGTGATTGAATAAACATTTTTGTAATCTTAGATCATTTTTTTAAATTCTTTTAAAATTGTAATCTGATTAGTTATAAAGTTTGTAAATGTATTTCTACCTATACTATGACACCTGCTTAATATTAATTATTATTATTCTTGTTTTTTAATATACCGTAATTTTACTAGTAAAATCGTTTAAAAAATAAGTTTTGGTATCCCAGTGATATTTGAGTAAAACTTTTAACTCCTTCATAATTTGAAAACAAAAATTGAAGGTTTGATGAATATATTAAATTTTTTGAAATGTTTATAATTTCTTAATATTTTGGTATGTTAGCTTCAAAAAAAAAAAAAAGCTAATCATCCTCTTTTTATAATTAGAGTTGTATGAATATGGTTTTCTTGTGTAACAAATATACTGAGTGATTCAAAAATTTTTTCTTCTAATTACAAATGATTAAAACTCAGTTTGACATTTAACCTTAGTTAATTAATTGTACAACAATAGAAAGTTTATCAAATTAATTTTTTAGATGATTTTTCACTAAAAATGTAGGTTCAACACCAGAGAGAAAAAAGATATTTTAGATCATTATTTTGGATATGTTATATTAATAAATTTATCTAATAATTGATTATAATGATTAAAATGTAAAAAAAAACTGCATGACACAAGCAACATTTCCAATGTGCATACCTAAAATTGCTCTGAAGAAAAGTATCCAATAATTTTCTTTTTTGAATAATTATTTATTCTTATAACAAAGAATTTTGTTTTATAAAACAAAAAAAAGTTCTTATGTATATTAAAAATAAATTTTTTAGTATTAAAGGATTTTATTTTTAGTGTGTTATTATTTTTGAATCTATAAAATAATGATGTTATCGCTATAGAAAGTGTTTTGTATCTTTTATTTTTATCAATTAAATTTGGGTTTTATGTATTTACATTGATTTCACCTTACTCATTGAACTAATACTCCAGTTACTAAATGCATTAATTTCTATAAAATAATTATAATCAATCACCAGATACATTTAATAGTAACAGAAATAAATTTGACAAACTTATCTTTCTAATGATTTATAGGTAATGAATGTAAATCAAACGGTCACTGAGTTATAATAATTTGTATTCAAATGGATACTTTTTATTAACCCTGTATTAATAAAAAAATAAATTAATTTATATTTAGCTAGGTATTATGAGTCACATTTTTCTTGACAGTGAGAATACTATTTTTAGAACACTCGTTGAATAATTATTTTAAAAATAGTGTTAATTTTCAAAAATAAAAGTGAAAGTTTACTTTTGGCTTATACAATTTAAATAGCAGAAAATAAACAAACTTCCAGAATTCTATTTAAAAATTTTTATCTTTATCACATTGGTAGTTTTTAGACTTTAATTTAAATACATTTATAATTATAAAATATTTTAGGTTATGGGGACACAATTGTTGCATCTAATCCATTTGATGATACTCCACCTCCAATCATGAATACCAATCCAATAAATCGGCAAATGATGAATTCTCGTCCAATGATGTCTGGAAGTCCTTGTCAAATGGGTAGTTCACCTATGAATTGTGGACCTCCAATGGGTAGTCCAATGGGAGGTCCATGTGGTAACAGTCCACACAGAAATTCTATGGTATGTGGTCCTCCAATGATGAACTGTGGTGCTCCTGGTAACAGTCCACATACAATGTCTATGAATCGAAGTCCATCTGCTATGGGTAGTCCACACATGGTTTCAAATATGCGTGGGAATAGTCCAATGGAATGTGCTGCTATGGTGAAGCCATCACTAAATTGTGCTTCTCCTATGGGTAGTCCTATTCCACCTAATTCTAGTATGAATATTCACCCTCCAATGTCAAGTCCTATGACTATGGGACCATCACCACTTAATGGACATCCAAACTCTGGACCAGGTGGTAGCCCTATGATGATGGGTAGAGGAGGACCTTCACCTCTAACTAATAGTCCTATGTCTATGAATATGCCAGTTAGTTCAGCTGACATGAATGATATGAATCAACACATGTCTATGGATAATGGAGGTTGTTCAATTAGGGGACCACCATGTCCTGGATCTAACAATATGCCATCAGTTTCTATGTCGTGTAGGCCACCTATGTCTAATCAGCAGTGCAATAGTATGCCTGGACCTAGTAATATGATGAATTGTCCAAGGGGAATGCCTTGCTCACAAATGATGAGGGGGCCACCACAATCTTCTGATCAACATAGACTTATGCCTCCTATGATGCACCATTCTCAAATACCTAATAGTCAACCAGGAGGTTATGGACCTGGGCCTAATTCTAAACCAATACCAGTGTCAGCTGGAAAGGTAAATCTATCTGAGTACTCGAGAGTGATTATAGTATTTTACGTGTATTGTAAAATGTTAATAATACAATTTAACTTCTAAATAAGTTTTCAATGTTACTAAAATAAAAGTAATTAAAATTTAAAATTTAAAATTTGTTATTATTGTTAGTACTATTTTTAATTTTGTATATTTTCTTAATGGATACTTTTGAGAGAATTTTATAATTTAATATTTCATTTTATTTTAGGAAAAGTTTGAATTTTCTAAATCCTAATAGAAAGGAAATATTTCTATAGTAGATTAAAGCTCATTTTCAATTTCGTTGTTTTTAAACTAAAATTCATTTTTTTCAACTGTTAGGTTGGTTAATGCTAGTCAATTTTCATAATTGTACTAGTGTGTCCCATAGAATGAAATACATGATTATCTTCAAATGTCTTTTGTACTATTGGGGACATAGTGTTTACTGCCATTGAAATTGACATGTATATCCTATTTGACAATTAACAGTGTAAATTAATGCTTTGCTTTAGAGCATTTGGAGTGTCCACCATGCCTCTATACCCCTAGTACATGGTTGGGAAAACCATTGTCAAAAATAACAAATTTTGAACTGGCCATCTACACAAATACTTACCAATTAATAACAATCTAAATATGAATTCTTTAAAACGTAAATTATTTTTTGTTATATTAATTTAATTATGGGATATAATTTTTATTTTAATAACTCTTATTTCTTCTGTATTAGTATTGAAAAATTAAGATTCTATTTCCTCCCAATCATTTAATTTAATTATTATTCTATAGTTTTATTTAAATTTGAAAAGAAAATATATAAAAAAATTTTTT